CTATTTTGTAGACAATAATATGTAAAATGATAACCATTGATAATTTCCTACCATTTTGTCTGTAATTTGCTAAGTCCCCCCTATTATTATGTTATCCTTCTTTTATTCTTTAAAATAAAAAAAATAAAATAAATAAATAAATAAATAAAAATAAATAAAAGATATCCTTGCCGGGGATATAGCTCAGCGGCATAAGGGCTTGCCTGGCAAGCCTGAGATCATGAGTTTGATTCCCGTTACCCTCCCCGCAAAAAAAAAGTGTGCTAAAGGATATCCTTTATTCTGGGGAGGGGCAGGACCGAGGGAGAGTGAGAGAGAGAGAGAATACTGTATTATTGTTTTTTGAGACAGGATGTCATTATGTAGTTCAAGCTGGCCTCAAACTTGGTTGTTATGTAGTTCACTATATAGACAGGCTGGCCTCAAACTTGTAGTGATGCTTCTGCCTCAGCCTCCCAAGTGCTGGGTTTACAGGTGTGTGCCACCATACCTGGCCCTATTCTGGGTTTATGTCATCCCTGTATCTGTACTGTTAAAATGATCTTTGTTTTTAAAAATGGTGTCCTTCTTTAGCAGATCTGGGGCTGAGAGGCCCCAGATTTTTATTGTTTTATTTTTATAGCCCTTAAAATCTAAAGTAGTGGGAATGACTGATATAGATCAGTAAGTCTAGTGCTTTTTAAAGAAATGTTTTATATGACCAAATTATTGACATGTAACATTACAAAAGTAATTTATGTATTTCTTGCATCAAATAATTGAAATGCCTATGTCATGTACTTAGTAGAAGTAAAAATTCAGATTTGCTTAGTACTGATACAATTGTATTTATTCAGCTTTCTAAGATCATTATAGTTAAGTCAATGTAATTATCACATGGACAGTCTTTGGTTAACCACATGACACGATCAATCTCTGTTGGAGATTTTTTTATTTTGTACTTTAAAAAGAACAAAGGACTTTTGTTTCAGGGACTTTTTTTCTTTTCTTTTTGGTTTTTTTTTTCCTGGGATTTCAGCTCCAGAATGTAGATTTTAAATTTAGGACCACAATATAACTTAATTTATCTACTGATTATTTAAAGCAGTTAAAGTGGTTTGAATGTGCAAGGTAGAAAAAATATAGTCTGTAGAAAAACTTGAAAACAAAAAATTGAGCTTTCATTTGTGGATGTCTGCATTATTATCTGTCTATTGAAGTGAACACGCCCAGGATATTCTGTAAACAGCTGCACCAGGAAAATTAGGGGAGAGATTGCTGTTATTAGTTTGAGTGGCAGCTAATGGATAGCCTAAACGGTGAGCTCTAGTTTGTTCCATATAATTTGGCACAGTCTTCTCCACTCTTTAGACGAAGCATGCAATTAGAATGGCAGTGATGGCTGTGAATTCATTTAACACTTTGCACTATATTAGAATTTAATTTTTAAATAAAATTTACTTGATCATGGAGTAAGTAAAATTTCCAACAACAAAGAAGGATTGACAAAATTTGGTTTCATATATACTGATTGAAAAATATACTGATTGAAAATGGATATTTTTAATATGTAAATATGCCAGATAATAGCAAGTTCTGTATTCCCAGGAACTAGCACATCATTCGAACACTGTCCTTTGAAAATTTATTCTTCATTGATTTTTTTATATTAACACTTATTTTAAGTCCTTTTATTGGGATAAATTTTTATTAAAGTAAATCAACTGTTGAAATCATGACAGACAGAAAGATTGCTTTATACCTAAGGAAAATTATGTAATAAATACTCATAATTAATGTATACAGATTGCCTAATAGTATACATTTTTGAATAGTGCATTATAATATAATTGCTTCTGGTTTTTAAACATTGAGAGTAAAAGTATGATTTGTGATTTGGATGGAAAAAGAAATTCCTTACAAGTTTCACTTTTAGTAGCAGGGCATGGCAGCTCATATCTAAAATCTCACATACGTGGGACGCTGAGGCAGAAGTATTACAAGTATGAGGCCAGCCTGAACCATCTAGCAAGATCCTGTCTCAAAGTATAATAACAAAGGGTTGGGGAATGTAACTCAGGAGCAGAGTACTTGCCTAGCATGTGCAAAACCTAGTTTCAATCCTAGTATCCCTGCAAAAAAAAATCATTTTTATGTTATAGTTAACACTATCAAATACTCCCTTTGGCAGTTCTTCAAAAAATTTCTCTAATATAAAGTCTTTTAAAAAAATAGTGTATATCATATATAATTCAGTACCTGAAAATTTATCCTTTTAAAGTGTTCAATTACATAGTTTTTAGTGTACTAGTAGAGTTATATAGCCATTACACAATAATTTCAAGACATTTTCATTTTTAAAATATTTTCCAAAAACAAAAACTATACTCTATTTCTATCGTTTTTAGTCCTTGGGTTCTGGCAATCACTAATCTGTTTTCTGTTTCCATGGGTTTGCCTATTCTGTACAGTTCATATAAATGTTATTATATAACATGTGGCCTTCTGCAAGTGGCCTCTTTTAGAATGATTTCCACGTTTGTATATGTTGTAGACTATATCAGTACTTTAATTTTTATAGTTGAATAATATTCCACTTTTGTGGGTACCATGTGATTATTCATCCATTAGATGATGCACATTTGAATTGTTTCTACTTTTTAGCTATTATGAATAAAGCTTAGACATTCCATCATAGTGATCTAGAAGCAGCAACATCTATAGGGCCTTTTGGGTTCTCACCAAGATCAGGCAGTACATGACTCGGGGGTCACGGTGAATGGAAACCCAGCCACTGGAAGGAAACTTGAAGATGTCCCACAGATGAAATCCAGCAAAGGGCTGGTTAGAATGAGAAGCAGGCTGCAACTCAGTGTAGGTACTGCTTACATCCCAGATCTGGACATCTTTCCATCTACAGAAATCTTTCTGAAGGAAAAAACTGAGTTTAGTGGCTTCCAATTGGTATCCAGTCCTAGCTATTCTTCCCTAGAATATGGGGGCAATGAGTGAGATATTTCCCGAGGATGTCCTCCACAGAATAGGACACTGGAAACTGCAAGCTAGAGGCCCAAAACAAAAAAGCAAGAAAAAAAGCCTCACTCGAAGATCTCCTGGCCTTTAAGATTTGTGTTAATTAATGTGTTATTCTGATAGGTTTGCCCCTGTAAGTAATTTGGTGCTTTTCTCTAATAGCTTTTAGCATTCTTGCTTGTATTCTATCACATGTTGTAGTGTCGACCTGAGGCTTCCAGGTTGTGTTCCTGCCATTGGCTTTAGTAGTCACTCTGCCCTATTCACCTGCTAAGATTCTACTGCTGTATTCTGAGCTCTGTCCCCGTTCTGCCAAGCCTTTGGCAAGACACTCCAGGGATCAGAAGGGCTTGGTGTGAGGCAGCACCCTTACCTCCCATGTACCATGAATTGAAAAGGAAAGGATGAATTGAATAGTATGAAACTGAAGTGACTCCATCCTATCAGATCACAATAGAATGAAACTAGAAATCAAGAGTAGAAGAAACTGCACAACACATAGAGTAAAATACATTCCAGAACAACCATTGGGCCACAGAAAAAATTTCAGGGAAGGAATTTAAAAATTTCTAGAATCTAATGATAAAATACAGCATATTAGAATCTGTAGGACACAAAGCAATGGAAATTTACAACTGAATGCCTGCATTAGCAAGAATGACCCCAAATAAATAACCCAGTGATGCACCTCAGGGTCTTAGGAAAACAAGAACAATCAAAACCTAAAACTGTTAGAAGAAAATTAATTATAAAGGTCAGAGTAGAAATTAATGAAATAGAAACTTTAAAAAAAATCGAGAATACGTAGGATCAGAGAATCGAAGTTGTTTCTTTCAAAGGATAAATGAGATTGACAAACCAATAGCCTGACTTAGCAAAAGAAAGTGAAGAGCCACATATATGAACTTAGAGATGAGTAAAATGAAATTACAACAGACACCACTGACATCCAGAGAATTTTTGCAAACTACTTTGAAAACTTACGTATTGATAAATTAGAAAATCTGGAAGAAACAATTCCTAGCCACATATGCTCATAAAAATTGAACCATGATATAAAACTCCACAATAGACCAATAACAAGTAATCAGTTGCCATAATAATCAAAATACTACAACCAACAAAAGCACAATACTCAATGGATTTATTCCTGATTTTTACCAGAATGTTAGCAAATAACTAAAAAGCACTAACACTTAAATTTTTCCATGTAAGTGAAAAAGAAAGAATGCTTCCAAACTCACGGGCGTGGTGGCGCATGCCTGTAATCCCAGCACTTGGGTGGCTGAAGCAGGAGGATCGCTGCAAGTTTGAGACCAGCCTGGGCTACAAAGTGAGCTCAAGGCCAGCCTGAACTACATAGTGAGACCCTGTCTCAAAAAGACAGTAAATAAATAAACAAACAAACAAACAAACAAACTCATTCCTTGCAACCAATGTTACCCTTATACCAAAAGTTTGTAAGTACTCATCACAAACAAAAACTATAGGACAGTATCCTTGATAAACTTTGATACAAAAACCTCAATAAGAGGCTTGTAAACAGAATTCAAGAAAACATTAAAGGAGGTATATACATCATGACCAAGTCACCTGCATCTCAGGGATACAAGGATGGTGCAGTATATATAAATCAGTATAACAGACCACATGAATAGAATCGAGGATAAAAATTACATGATTTTCTCAATATCCTTGGACAAAAATCTAACATCCTTTCATGATAAAAACCCTGATGAAAGTAGGTGCAGAATGATCTTAACTCGAAAAAAAAAAAAATGATCTTAGCTCAAATTGATATAAGCTATTTGACAAAATCAGACATTCTTTTATGATTAAAAAGAACTGATATAAAAAAGCATAGAAGGACTTACTTCAAACTGGTATAATCCATGTATATGACAGATCCACACTCCACATCATATTGAATGGGAGAAAACTAGCCATTCCCCTTATAATTTGGAAGGAGACAAGATGTCTACTTACCACTTGTGTTCAGTATACTACTTGAAACTGGCAAAAGAAAGAAAGGGATATGAATAGGAAAGAAAAATGTCAAATTATCTCTATTTGTAGATTATATGATCCTTTACATAGAAGACCCAGAAAACTTTAAGAACTGATAAATTAGCAAAATACCAGGCTGCACTCAAATATCAATAATGAATCAACAATGCACTACCAAGAAATAAATAAGAAAAAAAGTATATTTGTGATGCCTTAAAAAAAAAAAAAAAAGGAATTAACATAACCACAAGATGTGAAAAACCTCTGTAATGAAGAATACAGAGCCCTAAAGAAAGAATTGAAGAGAGCATTAGAAAATGGAAAGATCCTCTGTTCCTGGGCAGGCAGGATTAATAGTCATTAAAATGGCTGTGTTACCAAAAGTGATCTATAGATTCAATGTAATCCCTATTACAATTCCAACAACACGATTCACAGAACTAGAAAAAAACAGTTCTAAAGTTAACATGGAACCAGAAGAGACCCAGACTAGCAAAAGCAATGCTGAGCAAAAAGAGCAGAGGAGGAAGTATTACAATACCAGGTTTCAAAATACACCATGTAACTATAGTAACAAAAACTTCATGCTTCTGGCAGAAACATAAACATGTAGACCAGAGGAATAAAACAGAAGACACAGAAACAAACCTATGTACCTTCAACTCTGATTTTTGGCAAAGAGACCCAAATCATACAATGGAGAAAAAATAGCCTTTTTAACAGATGGTGCTGGGGCCAGGGATGTAGCTCAGTGGCACAGTGCCTGCCTAGTAAGTGCAAGGTCCTGAGTTCTATTCCTAGTACCAAAAAAACAAACAAACAAAAAACAAAAAAACTACCAAACAAAAAAACAGGTGGTGCTAGGAAGACTGGTTATTCATGTATAGAAGATTGAAACTAACCATATATCTCAACCTGCACAGAGATCTAGACATAAAACCAGATTCTTTGAAACTGCTGCAAAAAAAAAAAATAGGAAAATTCTTGAGGCGATAGGTATAATAAAGACTTCTGAACAGAACTCCAGTAACACAGGAAATGATATCAAGAATCAGCAAGTGGGATGTGGTCAAATTAAAAACCTGCACAGCAAAGGAAATAGCAGAACAAAAAGGTAACTTATAGAATAGGGAAAAAATTTTGCCAGCAATTCTTTTGATAGAGGACTAATATCTAGAATACATAAGAACTAAAATAAAAAAAAAACTACCAAAAAAAATAAAAAAATTGGCAATTGAAAGACACTTTTCAAAAAAGATGTGTAAGTGGCCAATAACTACATGAAAAACTTCATTACGCTTAGCTTAACCACTAGAGAAATAACAAATCAGAACAACTGAGATTGCACCTTAGCACAGTCAAGAGTGCAAAAAACCAGTAAATGCTGGTGAGGATGTGGGAGAAATGAAACACTTCTGCATTGTTGGGAAGGTAAACTAGTATAACCAGTGGAAATTCATATCTAGATTACTAAAACTAAAAGTAGAAGTTCCACATTTATCTCTTCAGGGTATACCCATAAGAGTTAAAGATACACTGTAGTAATGTATACTCATGTTTATAGCAGCTCAATTCACAGTGGGTAAGCCCTGAAAACAGCCTTAATGCCCATCAATAGACAAATGGATAAAGTATGCCATATATATTCTATGCAATATTATTCAGCCATAATGATTGAAATCATGCCATTTTCAGGAAAATGGATGGAGCTTTTATTAAGTGACATAATCTTAAATGAAATAAATCAGATGGTAAAATATCATATGTTGTTATATATAAGAAATATAAAAAGTGAAAGATACTAGGAAACAAGACTGACTTTTGGGAAATAGGGAAGGAGCTTAATGGGATAGGAAAGGGAGATAAAAGGATAGAAAATGATCAAGATAAAATATATATAACTTTCCCCCAAATGAACTTTGCTATTATGTGTTGCAAACATACACTAAGTAATGCTGCTATGAATGGGTATGTATTTTTTTTTTTTATATACTGGGAGTCAAACTCAGGACCTTGCACTTGCCAGGCAAACGCTTGTACCACTGAGCTATATCCCTGGTCCTGTATATGCATTTTTATGGACATTAAAAAAAAATTCTCATGTGTACACTGAGGAACAGACATTTTACATTAATCCTACTGAATTGTAACCTTAAAATGGTCAAATTGGCAATTTTTGTTAGGTTATCCCAATGAAAAATTAAGTTTTAAAAAATAATTCAACCATCTAATAAGAAACATTTGTAATGAATAACTTATTTACAAAAGGCATTTTATCTAAGAAGAAGACAAGCTTTCTGGTGGAAAGTTAGAAATTAGGTGTGAACTAATAATTCACAAAATAAAATTTAATTGCATAAACACAAAACAAATTCAGCTTTTCTTAATATTCAGAGACATACAAATTAGAACAATAAAAGCATTTTTCATTATTAAATTATTTTATATATAGGCCCTTTACATTTTGATAATGACCTTTGTGGAGGGCAGTTTGACAGTATATGCCAAATACCTTTAAATCTGTACTGTGTTTTTAGAAATATGTATACCTATAAATACACATGATTTTGTGTAGAAGTAGTTTTTTTTACTAAGGCATTACTTATTACAGTGAAAAATGGAACCCACTTAATAAAGGGTGTTTTTTCTGTCAAAGAGGGGAATCCTTCCCTACCATTAAATACTACAGTTTCCAACCAGCACTCAGCAGGCTGAGGCAAGGGGATTACCATGAGTTCAAAGCCAGCCTGGACTATATAGTGAGTTCAAGGCCAATCTGAACTACATAGTGAGATCCTGTCTGTCTGTCTGTCTGTCGTCTGTCTGTCTGTCTGTCTGTCT